GTCTCCTTGAACCCCAGTCGGCCTCAGCAGATGGCCGCTCACACTGAGCCTGGTTCTGCTGGAGGTTTCTTCCTGTTAAAATGTAGTTTTTCCTCTCCACAGTCGCTACAAGCATGCTGCGTGTGAGGGATTGCTGAAGAGTCAATGAGGTGATGCAATCAGCTTGTTTTCCTGCCTGTCAAAACTAATCTTTCAAAACCCACCTCACCCACAGGCCAAACCTAAAAAAAAAAAAAGAAAAATAAATTTTTTTAAAGGTTAGACATTTAGTCATTTTCTGTATCTTGAAGATTTAAACAGTCAAAATACTGTAAGAGGAGATCCCATGTAGTATGACATAAATTCTTGGAGCCTCTGATAAAGAACCTCAATTTTTCAACTTTAGGAGGGTTGAATGCCTCAAACAGCCATCAGACATGTAAAAGATTGCACAGATGGGATTGGAAGCAACAACAGAACCAATTGCTTTAGTTGATTTGCTGAAAACAATATTTACAAAAAGCTAATTTATTAGATTGCTTCATGTCTTGTTATGTCATCAACATACAGAGGTCGAATTAAAACAATGAATACAATATTGTTACCCTGCTGTGTTTTCTTATTTTTACTTTATTTTAAAATAAATGCAATAGTCTACTGGATGAGATCTTTCAAATGAATGTAAATGACCAAAAACTGTCCTAGGTATGAAAATATGACAAAATTTTCTGTTTTTTTGCAAATTCACGTGTGTTTTTATGAAAACTCATTTAAGAAATATGGGATCATGATTAAGTTTTGGCCTGTCTTCACATGGTGTCAATCATTTTATAATTAGTAAAATATTCAGTTTTAAATAAAATCATTTATAACCTATCAGAATCAGACATACTTTGATAATCAAAAGAAGGAAATTACAGATGAGCAATATATTATCACTTCAGTGAAAAAACATTTTCACGAAATCTAGAGAAAAGTGAATCATGAAATCAACAACTTAAGTTTCCTTTAAATTTTGCAAAACGTGACACCAGGCCACACTTTTTTCTTTCAAATCTTGCTACCATATTTGCTGAAACATGCATCTATAAAGAATCATGTTGAATTAACCTAATCCAGGGCGGGGACCCAAAAACAATAAATAATATAACTATTGTCAAAATTGAACACACTGTGTTTAAACCTGTCTTACACACCTAATACCTTAAGTTTCTTTGCAAATGCAGACATTTTATCTGAAACACATTATTCACATGTAGATGCATAGTTATGAGAATTTCAGTGAAACTTAAAATGCAAAACTCAATGGGTTTGTAAAGAATAGTTTATAGGTTTAACAATATTTACAAGAATGAAAATAAATAGTACTATATTTTACTCTAATTAATTAATTAATTACTCTAAAACAGTCAATGTACTTTGACACTACATATTTAATGTTGTGGAGTTTACTGTGTAGCTGAAAATACACATTACATAAACATTAGATACTGATTTAATGTTTTCTACTTGTCCTCAGCAAACAGTCTATATGTCTTCTTTATAAGAAAAAGTATAACAGTGTAGCAAGTAAATAGGTTGACTGTAACAGGGTTCGGATGAATGATAACAGAACAGTTGAATGATAAGAGTTAGAGTTGAATTTAATTCTTTGAACAAATAAGAGGGAATGAAACAAACAACTGGATATGTAATATTTAAAATAGGGTTCAAATAATATCATAGATTAGACTGATCTGTTTGATGAATTTAAATGTCATACAATAGAATCAGACCATTCACAGGCAAAAATTATTGTATGAGAGACCTCCCTCTTCATGTGATGAAAAGGTAAAAGTTAACTGGTTTATTTGTAGGTTAACAAAAACAGAGTGAGAGGTTATACAGCAGGGTAAACTCAGTTGGACCTCAGCGGACTGGTGAACTGGAACCGGAAACTCTGAAGGGGAGATCACAATGATCAGTTCAACTGCAGGAATGGGACTCACATTTGAGGGGCTCTTGGTTTTCCTTAGGATCCAGTTTGTGGGGTTTTGTCCAGATATGAATGAACTCGTTGGAGGGCGGACAGGCAGACTAGCCTTGGGTCCAGAGGAGCAATGGAGCGGACTGTCACCGGGTTTTTCTAAAGCAGACTTGAACAGATCTGGTAGAGGTTTCCCCTTGCTCAGTGGGACTCAAATAATTCCTTCCAGGCGGGGTAGAAGGTCCAGGCTTATCCAGTGGATCAGGAAGGCATCCTACAGAAGAACAAAGATAAAGGCAAAGCTTAGGCTCAGAGAGAGACAAAGCAATAATTAGACTCAGCTAATCTCAGTTTGGCTAGAGTACCTAATATTGGCAAACACTCTGGCGTTGAGGTCTTGACAGCCCGCTGCTCAGTGGTTAGTGGTGCAAAGGGAGAACAAAAGAAAACACAAAAACAACCAACACAAACTGGAATCCTAATAGAAAACAGGATAGGAAAGAGAAGAAGAAAGAAATATCACTTGCAGCTTTCACAGCACACTTATTTCAACCAACGAGCCAGAGCTCTTATAACCAACACAGATTAAAGTCAGCATTAATTTAAATCGCTGACCACCTGTCTCTCGCCCAGCGCAGCACCTCATTAATGAAGTATCAGCCTCCTCAATCAGCTGATTGGTCCATGCGTGAGCTGACCGCCCCTACGGCCAAAAGTTTCAGAACTTTCCTGAGAATATTTTGTTTTCTTTGTGAAAAAGGAAAAGGGGATGGTTTTAGACAGTTCATCCATTTGATTTGGGCTCCATTGTGGCAATATATCCCAACACATTTTTTTGTTGTTTGTGTTTGTATTTTTTGTCTTTTTTGTTTGTTTACTAACAACTTACGCTTCATAAAAAAAGAAGATATTATAATATTGTCAGTTACACTGTGGAAGGACAATATTTGTGTCAGACAAAATGAACTATTGACTTTGTTTGGAGAGACATTGGACACTTTCTTCCTTGAGCCACAGGAAGGATTGCATTGCAGAGGGAATAATCTTAAAGGACTCATTGATCATCTGTCTGCCCTGCTAATCAGTTCCTGATCCTGTTCATGTTTTTGTGTCAACAACATTAATAAACTCTGTTATACTTTTACCCAGCCTCCGTTGTGTTCTGCATGTGGGTTTGAATTAAAACCAATCATGACAGAACACTGCGGCAAAACACAAAGCCCAGCAGATCACCTCCGGAGGAGGCTTGAGGAGCAGGACGCTCAAATCCTTGGACATGCGCATACCCTCCGTGAGTTACACACTAAAGTTGAACATCAGAACCAAATGCTACAAACGTA